CAATCAATCAATCAATCAATCAATCAATCAATCAATCAATCAATCAATCAATCAATCAATCAATCAATCAATCAATCAATCAATCAATCAATCAAGGAATCCCATCGAATCAATTGATTCGATAGGATCTCGAACTGTCAAGATCCTGTCGATTCGTGTCGAATAAATAGATTCCACGGGATTGATTGATTGATTGATTGCGACGGTATAGGCGAAAAAAAAAGAAAAAGAAAAAAAAGGAGAGCAGGGGTTGTGACATCTACAACGATTGGATTCGACAATCCGGCAAGATGGAGGAGGAGGAGGAGGAGGAGGTCCCAACGAGGAGGAGGAGGAAGTCCCGACGAGGAGGCGGAGGAGGTGGAGGTCCTCACAATAGAGGAGGAGGAGAAGGAGGAGGAGGAAGAGGAGGAGGAGGAGGAGGCGGAGGAGGAGGAGGAAGAGGAGGAGGTCCCGACGAGTAGGAGGTCCTGACGGGGAGGAGGTCCCGACGAGGAGGTGCGATGAGGAGGAGGAGGAGGAGGAGGAGGAGGAGGAGGTCCCGACGAGGAGGAGGAGGAGGTCCCGACGAGGAGGAGGAGGAGGTCCCAACGAGGAGGTCCTGATGGAGGAGGGAGTCCGGATGGTGGAGGAGGAGGAGGTCCCGACGATGGAGGAGGAGGAGGAGGAGGAAGAGGAGGAGGAGGAGGTACCCTGGCGAATCCGACCGATCGGCCGATCCATCAACCAATCAATCAATCAATCAATCTCGTTGAATCTATTGATTCGATACGATCTTGACAGTTCAAGATCCTATCGAATCAATAGATTCGATGGGATTGTTTGACTATCAATCAATCAACTAATCAATCAATCAATCAATGAATGAATGAATCAATCAATCAATCAATCAATCAATCAATCAATCCATCAATCAATCAAGGAATCTCGTCGAATCTATTGATTCGATAGGATCTTGAACTGTGAAGATCCTGTCGAATCAATAGATTCGACGAGATTGATTGATTGATTGATTGATTGATTGATTGATTGATTGATTGATTGATTGATTGATTGATTGATTGCGACGGTACAGGTGAAAAATAAAATAAAAAAATGAAGGAGAGCGGGGGTTGTGACATCTACAACGACTGGATTCGATATTCTGGCGAGATGGAGGAGGAGGAGTAGCTCCCGACGAGGAGGAGGAGGAGGAGAAGGAGAAGGAAGAGGAGGAGGAGGAGGAGGATCAAAAGGGGGAGGAGGGGGAGGTGGAGAAGGAGGTGAAGGAGGAGGAGGAGGAGGTCCCCACGAGGAGGAGGAGGAGGTCCCAACGAGGAGGTCCCGACGAGGAAGACGAGCAGGAGGAGGAGGAGGCCCCGAGGAGGAGGAGGAGGAGGAGATCCCGACAAGGAGGAGGAGGACGGGGAGGAGGACGAGGAGGAGGAGGTCCTGATGGAGGAGGAGGTCCCGATGGAGAGGAGGAGGAGGTCCCGATGGAGAAGAGGAGGAGGTCCCGATGGTGGAGGAGGAGGAGGAGCAGGAGGAGGAGGTCCTGACGAGGAGGAGGAGGAGGTCCCAGCGAAGAGGAAGAGGAGGTTTGGACGAGGAGGAGGAGGAGGTCCCAACGAGTAGGAGGTCCCGATGGAGGAGGAGGTCCCGATGGAGGAGGAGGAGGAGGTCCCGATGATGGAGGAGGAGGAGGTCCCGATCGAGGAGGAGGTCCCGATGCAAGAGGAAGAGGAGGTCCTAACGATGGAGGAGGAGGAGGAGGAGGAGCAAGAGGAGGAGGTGGTAGAGGAGGGGGAAGAGGAGGAGGAGGAGGTTCCGAGAATGGAGGAGGAGAACGAGGAGGAGGAGTCCGAGGAGGAGTTGGAGGAGGAGGAGGAAGAGGAGGTAGAGGAGGAGGAGGAGGAGGAGGAGGAGGAGGAAGAAGAGGAGGAGGAGGAGGAGAAAGAGGAGGAGGAGGAAGAGGAGGAGGAGGAGGACGAGAGAAGGAGGAGGAGGAGGAGAGGAGGAGGAGGAGAAGGTCCCGATGATGGAGGACGAGGAGGACGAAAAGTAGGAAGAGGAGGAGGAGGAGGAGGATGACGAAGGGAAGGAAAATCATCTGGCTCTGGAGGGCGATGGACCGTGGGTTGCGAGCGTTAGGCGTCGGAGCTCAGCAAACTGCAACGCCGAACTCCGCTGACGGGGCAGTGCGAAGTCGCGAGCGAGGGATGGCTGCAGCTGGTCCAAATTCAAATTTGAATTCGCCCCGATCCGGGTCGTTGATCTCAAAGATCTGACAGCCCGGACCGGGCCTTTTTGATTTTCGGATTCCGAGACCCTACTGGCCTCGGAAAAAAATTCCCTTGCCCCCCCCACTTCGGCCTTGCCCGTTGTTGGTGCGGATACCCTTACAAGGGTACTCGCACTGGGTTTTGCAGTTGGCAGAGAAATGGGTCGATTCATAATTAATGGGAAGACCCCGCGAGTCGCAGGGGTTCGCAGACTAAAGATTCAGTGGTAATATCTAGGATTATAGAGTGTGTGGGCGCGCAGGTTTGAGACGCGCGTGATTTTTCCCTTTTTAATCACAATGGAAGACGTGGCGTGGATTCCGGTCAACGGGCTTCATTATAACAGTTGTTTATTTTGATTAAACTGACTAACCTATGGGCGCTCTTTTCTCTAGTTCCGTGTGGTACGGTGGACGGTTCAATGAGCCTGTATGGACTTACGCGGAATCCAGATGATGGGACCTGATAGGTTTGGCTAAGGACGGGTAGCCCCGGCGAGGCCAGTAGGCTGGCGTGAGTTTTTGGGTGGTCTTCTGTGCGAGTGTGGGCCGGGAAGCGGCATAGGGTGACTCCTTGGACCCAAAAGCCGTGCGCTACCTCTTTATTAGGAGATTCGAGTCCACTGGTACCAGGCTTGGGCTTAGCCCTATAGGTTACGACATTGGGCTGACACTATGGAGGTTCGGGGATCAAGGTCAGCAGGCGTCGGCGCAGCAGCATGGAGCAAAACCCTGAGGGGTCGAGGGCCCGGAAGGGCTATCCTCCTCGGTTTTGTTTGGCGGGTGCGGCGGCAAGCCCGATCCATGGGAACCTCCCCTTTCCCGTTTTGTTTCCTTTATTATTTTTTTTTTATATATACCTCTTGTTATTTTTGTTTTAAGTTTTCATCGTTTTAAATCGCGTCCTGCTTCGGGACGTGATACCGGGTGATATAAGGTTGCGTGGAGTATGTTGTATTCACAGGGTGGCATGAAGTGAGGTCACAAATCTGTTTTTGTTGCAGCGCCGGAGTTACCCCTTTATCTTTCTTGTATCTGCCCTTAGCCTTATTTTTCTTTGACGCCTAAAGCCGCGTCCCGTTTTGCCTTGGGACCGATGCCGTGGACGGTGCGGGGCCCAGGAGCCTAGCTCAGCAATGACACCCTTGGGCTGTTGAACTGTGGATCTGGGCTTGGACCAGGTAATGGAACTCGATGAGTAGACTAAGTATTGCAAGGTTGTCCGGGGCCGCACAGGCGTAGGGAGGACCGCAGGGCATTCGCCCCAGCCAAAGTCTTTCGGGACATCGATCAAAATTGGGGCGAAACAGAGAGGGCTGGCATGTCCAGCTTGGCCATCGCGCCTAACACTCCGGACCAAAAAAGGGGAACGGGTGTGGGCAAAAAGGTTATCCACTGGAGATATCGGAATAGCGAGAGGATTAGAGTAGGAGGGAGTATGTGAAAGGAGCTAGTGCGCGAGCGATGGCGGGAGCGAAAGAGGTGAGGAGTGAGGACTGCGTCTCTCACTTAGTTGCGGGGGAAATCAAGCGGGGAAACGTGCTACAACAACGTTTTAGCCAAGGCGATTTTGAATGAGAGGGTAAGAGTGGGGGAAGGAGGAGTGTGAGAAAAGGTAGAAGGAGAAGAGGTGCGTGGAGAAGTGCTGAGAAATGGCTATGATAGGGGGCGAAAGTGCATGCCTTAGTCACTTCTTGGTGAAAATGAGTGCGGGAAGATAGCAAATGGGAGTTTTAGGGCGGGGCGATCTCGATGGTGTTGTCAGATTTAGGATCTTGTGGTTAGTTTTTGTCCGCTATGAACCATAGGCTGCGCGATGTACTATGAAAGGAACGTGGGCGGAGGGCGAGAATCTCGGAGCTATTCGACTGTTCCTTATTTAGCCATTCCTAGTGGATCAAATTGTGGTGTGGGGTCTTTGAGGGTGGGCGAGTCTGACGGTGGAGTCAGATTCGAGAGTTACTGCACGGACTCGCCACTAGGGAGGTTGTGAGTCAGGCATAAGAAAGTTGGCTTCAAAAGCGGTGATGTACCTGACCCGGTTCTAGCTGTGGATTCGTTCGATTTCGCTCATCCTACCTCTGAAATCAAAGTGGGCACGGAGACTTACCTGTCAATCGGAGGGCTGGAGCAGGCGAGCATGGTCGGATAGCGGTGCGTAATTCTATGTTCCTGTGAAAGGTCCGTCCGTTTTGCTTGCTGGACCATTGAGAGGAGCGCAAGAGCAGACGCATGGTGGGGGATGCACCTGATGGCTGGCAGACTGAGTCAGGAGCACTATAGTTGTAAACAAACAGTATATAGTCCGCGGGAAAAACGTTCCACCGTGGCCATCCGACCAATGACAGTAGCATGGAGTTAGTCTGAGAGAAAGAAAGGAAGGGGGGAGCGAGGCTTACCTACAATCTGAGGAGCCAGGCTTGATGCGTCTCCATAGTTTGTTTTGATCCCCATCTATCTTTGACGCTCTTGTTGGTTTGCGGCTCAGCATTGTGATCAGCGGATGACGTGGTGGTACTGCTGATTGTGGATTCAAGGTTACCGAGTTTTGCCTGTTGAAGTAAGGAGTTGTTGTGTGCCCACCACCAGTTGTTGAACAGACACTGCCACTATTATTGTCGAAATGATGTTGAGCTCGGCTGGCAGACGCAACTGTTAAAGCACCACTTTGAGTCGCTATGCTCTACGTGTCGTGATCAGGCACTAACCCTTCAATCGGTGAGCAGGCCGCTTGGGTAATAAGCAGGTTGCGCCCCCATCAGTCTATGGGTGCTGTGTTTTTGTTGTGCTATTGACTACAGCTGCTTCGAGACTGGGCAATTGCTGCCTCGTCTGAGGAGTAAGGCATAGTATGAGGGAAGTGACCTGGGCCACGGAGAAAGGCTGACAACTACTACTGCCAACGGTTGGCTGCGGCATGCTATGGCTAGCGACTGCGAATAGTGGCTGTTGTATATTGGCTGGGCCTGGATGCCACCTTTCTTAGACAGCGGACTGTGTTTTCGGTATGGGTGAGAGGCTGGTGAAGGGCGAGGCTGCTGCGCAGAGCGGCAGTTGCTGACTGCACAGAGGCTACTGCGTACTGCGGCTGTTGCTGACTGCACATAGGTGCTGCGTACTACGGTTGCTGCTGCGAACTGCACACGGGCTATTGCTATTGACCATGTGTAGCGGCTGTGTTCGGTGGCCAAGTGTGAACAATCTGCTGCTGCAGTCTGCCGCTACTGTCTGCTGCAGCCTGCTGAGTAGCGGCCATTTGGACTTAGAGGAATGACGGAGCCCGAGGAGGAGGTTATGGCTGCGGGTTGGGGAGTCGTTAGACGCGCGACTCCAGCAGCTGGTTACAAGTTGATCAAGTTGTCGGTTGGCTGCCATTGCGGGGCCCTGAGGCGCAGAAGATACCAAGGCCCTCTCCTGCGAGTTTGAGATCAACCCTCTTGTATCTGAGAGTCTCAAACCATCTTTTTTTATCCTTCTTACTTCAAGTCTGGTCCTGATCTGAGGGGAAGGCAGCAGGCGGGATTGCAACCCATAGGACCTCAGCAAGACTTTGTGGGTAGTCTGCCCACCGATTGTGGGAGCTCTGCCGAAACGCAGGAGGAGTTCTGGAGGTAGGAACTGACAGGTAACCTTTGCTTTCCTCTTATAAACCCAGATTATAACCCCTATCTGTATTACCCCTTGCATCATCTGACTAAATATATGATGTGCAGCCCTACCTTATTTTTGGTTTGACTTTCAGGACCCTGGATCAGATTAAGTAAATGAATGTTTGTTCAAGCTCAGTTTTAGCTTTGTTGATTGTATGAAAGCAGATTGTTAAAAGGAATTGCATCTGGAAAAAACAGGATGCAGGACTGTTCTATTTGGGAGTTGATTGGGTCATTAAGGTTGGGAGGTCCCCATAAGTTTGCGGAGACCCAGCGCTTTGTTTCTTTTGGCTTTGATTGGAGCGTCAGACCCTTCTATAAGTTTAGGGGGTCCGATTGCTTTGGAGGCTGGGATGCCCCCATAAGTTTGGGGAGACCTGGTGTTGTGGTCTGCATTGAGGGTCTGGATGTTCTATAAGTTTAGGTGGCCTGACAGCTCTGACTTGCGAGGGCTGATTGTGGTTGACTTTTTAGGAGCCGAGTGCATTCTGTAAGTTGAGGTGTCTTGGCCGCCTTGCTTATCTTGGGTTTTCTTCTGTTTATTTGTGTTTTGAACGAGGAGATCTGAACTGTTTTATAAGTTTAGGTGACTCTGTCTCTTTTTGCTTTTTATTCTGAAGAAGTAATCTTGGCAAAGGGCAGGCCCTTCTGTAAGTTCAGTGGGTCTGACTCAATGCCACACACATGATTATTCAGAGAGAAAATAAAATTGACAGAGAGTTAGATCCTTCTATAAGTTCGGGGGTCTGACTCAAAGCCTCGCACACGCTGGAACATAATGGTTATAACTTGGATATACTGTACTAACTATTCAATCTAAGAACGAGCTAGCCAAAATGTTCTATAAGTTTAGGTGTTCTGACTATAGCCTATCACAACTTGAAGAGAGTATAACTAAGAATAAAGCTGATGGTAATTTGGGGCATACTAAACTTAAGTTAGTTCAATCATATACAGCCTTAGAAGACAAAAGTAAAAACAGTTATATATATAACTTGGATATCTTAAACGGTTCAGGCCGACTAGAGTGGTCTAGTCATGCGCCAAATAAGAGAAAAGTTGTTGTGCCTTGTGTTTGTGTATACTTTGGCAAAGTTGGGCTCATTCCATAAGTTTGGGTGGCCCGACTTTAGGCCTGGCTAAGGTAAGGTTCATTCTATAAGTTTGGGTGTCATGACCTTATGCCTTATGTAAGCTGGGTATAAGGGATTAAATCATTGAAAGACCATGAACTTTTGTTTG